CCCAAACTAAGGAAATGCTTATGGAAACGATCAAGCTTGACTCATCCCCAAACCAATAAATGGTTATAGACCGAAATATAAATGACCAATCTTTACCTCACCACAAACCAAATAAATATGTATAGACTGAAATATAAACGACAGACATTTACCTATCCGTAAGTAAATGCTTATCTACTCAAATATAAACGACAAAATTTGCCTATCAATGAACCAAGTAAATGCTTATATACTCAAATATAATTTAAATGATGATAAGTGCACTAGGGTCTGAGTCGCGATCTGTCTTGAACTCAAATTATGTGAGCCTCACAGATGTAGATGGGGAGCTTTCATTGATGAGTTTGGTTTGCATCCTCTCGCCTGTCGTCGTAGTGCCGGCCGCTTTTCACGGCATGCGGCAATAAACGACATCATCAAAAGAGGTTTGGATACAGCTATGTTCCCTTCCCAAATCGAACCCGTAGGCCTCGACCGTGGTGATGGAAAGCGGTCGGATGGCATTACCATTTTCCCTTTTAAAATGGGGAAGTCGTTGATTTGGGATGCGACCTGTGCGGATACATTTTCGGCCGGTAATTTGTTCAGGTCCGCGGTTGAGCCGGTGTCCGTAGTCCGGGACGCAGAGATTTAAAAAAAAAAAAGTAGTTAAATATTCTTCTCTTGCTGATAGATTTTTTTTTTTTAATTCTGTGGCAGTGGAGACTTCTGGGGTTATTGGCCCTCGTTCGATGGCGTTCCTTCGGAGGATTGGCGCGATTGCGCCTCGATTAAGGGACGAGCCTCGCGAAACGGAGTGGCTCTTGCAGCGTGTCTCACTGGCGATGGTTCGAGGTAATGCTTTCTCCATCATTGCGGATGGCAGAGGATAGGAAAAAATTATTTATAGTTACTTTGTTCAAACTTTTTTTCAATAAACAAGGATGAAAATTTAAAAAGTAAAAATTTTTCAATAATGGATAGCCCTATAGGTGTTGATATGTCATAAAATCTACCAGTTACCGTTTTGGGATTGACTGAAATCTTGTATTGTCAACATCAAAAAGCCACGAACGATTCCGGTATCCTCAAAGAAATTGCAATGTCAGCAACTCTTCCTGAAATTATCAATTATACAATGGCTTCATCCAGTGAAGAAGAAAACAATCTACTGATCATAAATATTAAATTAACAGCTTATTAATTTTGATTACATTATTTCGCTGTTCAAAGCAACTGTGTAAATTGCAAACAAAGACGTGGCTTTTGTATTTCTGCTTTAAGCGTCGTCTTCCATTAACCGCAAAATCTAAAAACGACAAAGATGAAAACGGAAGCACTATTCAAATTGACTGGCCCTCACATACAAAAAGGACACTTATATTTATAATCGCTAAAAATGTCTACCAAATATAATGAGGAAAGTGGGCTTAGCAAATTTAACACTCAAAGAACTTATTGAAAACCAGAGGGATGCAGCGAATAACCCCACGAACGAGTCTGTGTAAATAGTTGAAAGAACAGGAATTAGAAGAGATAGCAAAAAGGCAAACATTACTACAAGCCACAAAGGACAAGAAGTTGTGGAGAGCCATAATCGCCGACATCTTGAGGGCCAAGGCACATAGAAAAAGAAGAGGAACGAGAACATAGCTGACAGAACAAGGATTACGAGATATAGCACAAAAAATTAAACATTTCTAAAATCAATATAAAATTAGATGTTGTGGAGAGCCATGATCGCTCACGTCATGAAGTTATGCGGCAAACTGGAGGAGGACCGCTCACTTGACTTTTATCAAGCCACGGCATTTGTCAAAATAAAAAAAAAATTTTAATAATTTTAGCAGTTGGGGTCCAGTTTATAATATAAATCAATCACTGACTTCCTACAGAGTTATCTGTACTTTGTTTTTATTTACAAATATCAGGTTTGAAACTCAGCCTACGTCATTGGTAATTATTTACTATTAAAATATGGGAAAAATAAAATCTCAGTAGAAGTTTGTCAAAACCTACGGGATTTTACTCGAAAGCTATCAAAGACCCGCCTGATAAGTGTCAGCAAAACATTGCAAATAATGGTGAATGAAGAACTGAATATAATGCAATTCTAATCTATTTCTCGAAGAATAAAGTTGGTAAAGATAGACGAAAGATATTTATGCCTGAACCTATTCGGTAAAAATCTCTTTTAATGATGGGCAATATACCTTCTATTGGATTAATGTCTGGAGAGCCTAGGGACAATTCCATTAATGTGAAGGGGCGTTATTTTGGATCGGTATATACTTTAACTTTAAGTTTCTTGGTTGTGAATTAGTCTCCTCAAAAAACGTCATGTCCAAGGATTTCCAATAATAATAACACTTTCTCTATCAAGAGTTCATCAAAAACGTTTTTCACATCCAAACCTGTAGAATCTTACTCAAAATTATTGAAGACCCGCAAATAAGGGTAAATATATAATTGAATAAAATGTAATTCTAGTCTATTTCTTGTAGAATAAAGTTAATAAGCAAAAACAGAATTTATTTATGAGTCAACCTATTAGGTAAATCTCTCTCTCTCTCCATCTATCATTCTCTTCTTTCTTGATATCTTTCATCACTCTTCCGTTTGCTTTTCTCTTCAGAGTTATTTGTACTTTGTTTTTATTTACAAATATCAGGTTGTAACTCTGCCTACGTCATTGGTAACTGTATGCTATTTGTTGTGGCCTATTTATAATATATATATATATTAACAGAAACAGTAATAGAAAACATATACAAACGAGAGTGTTACAGCAGGAATGTTCGGTCCGACTGTCAGAGCTGACTGCTGGAAGCTTCTCTCTCCAAAAATCAGTACCTGCTCCTATTTATAGCTGTGAAAGTCCATACGTGCGTAAATTACCATAACACTATTAAAATGTGAGAAAAAGAAAATCTCATTATTAACTTAAAAAAAAAATATAATCTAAAAATATTTTTTGGCTTTAAATAACCTCAAAAGGGTTGATAAGCCGTAAAAAGCGAATTAATCGGTGAAATACTGGTTAGCTACCCAAACATGTCTTTTAAATTTATTTGCAGTCTCTGGAATATAAATAGAAACCTTTTGGTCCCAAAGTGAAGGATCGGTTTATATATTGATTGTAATGTAGAGTTGATCCCTCATTTTATATCCAATTTACATTTTATTGTTTGTCTTTTTTCAAATTCTGATTAGATATGAATCTACTCCCCAAGCTATGGATTAATTAGTAAGACTTGTATCACTAAACCATTATTTTCTAAAAACAAAAATTATTACAATTGATTTCCTGGCTTTAAATAACCTGCAAAGGGTTGATAAACCGTAAAAATTAGTCACGGTAATAGTTTTGGAAAGTGTTTTTGAACTTTCAACATGATCAAACCATACATACTAATTATAGCTACAATGTTGATAAAAACGTTAATTATTTATGACAAAAACTAATATTTTACTCCTAGTTAGGAGGAGGGGAATATGTAGTTTCATGCCTTTTTCCAAGGACATTCGTTTGAAGAGAATGCAATAGACTAAAAGCAGAATTTTGAACATAGGTTGTCGATTTCATTTTCAGCGCCGATAACCGTTCTGCCACCATTAACGCCCCAAAACGAAAATCGCTCTATGCAATTCACATAAATATAACGGAAAATGTTCCAACCAAACGAATGCAATTTCTACGAAGGACTGCAATGAAGTAAAACCCTGATTGCATTGGTATAAGAAAAAAAAAATTGTCAAGATAAACATATCTTTCTCTTTGTTTGCATGACTTACGGCTTGGACTCAATAAATGGCATTACAAACATAGTAAATTGTCTTCCAACTCCAGGAAATATAATATTCCATGAATATTTCAATGAAAAGTTCTCTTTTTTTTTATATGTTTTTATGCCAATAAAGGCAATGGGTGTTTGTAACATAGTGACGAAAGCCATTCTGCATATTTACAATAAAATAGATAAATTCCGACGAAAATGTTCACAGTGTTAATAATCCTTTTCACAAAATGCGGAACTCAGACTTCTTTCGAATTCTTTGTGTTGGAATATATATATATATATATATATATATATATATATATATATATATATATATATACACACACACACACACACACACACACACACACACACACACATATATATATATATATATATATATATAGACAGACACACACACTTATATGATAAAATATAGTTTACGGTATGTTATATTTATGGGTTAAACTACTCAATATCAGGAATATAGCGTATGTAAATATAAAAGTGGACATTGTCGTCAGCTCATGTGCTTTGTTTTAGATCGACTGTTTAAATATGCTTGTCAGTGGTGCGTTATAGGTAGGTCTATTCTATTATTTTAACTGGTTATTTGGGTGGGCGGTAACGGTTATTTTTTTCGAATTATTATAGGGGGCAATTAAGTGGAAATAATTATGGATCCGAATGAAATCTTGTGACTATTTAATAACGTTATTTTTTTTTTAACTTTTTTTAAATTCATTATTTATTATTATCTGATTTTTTCTCTTGTTGGTGATTGTTATTACGTTTACTTGTGTTTAAATGTGCCTGGGGTCCTTTTTTATAAGATGTTAATTTTATTCGCTACTCCCAAAGATAAATTGTACATATAAGGATTAGTTAGTATTTCATAGAGACTCTGTGGTATTATGGTGGGTGTAGTGAGAATGGTAAGTAAGAATGTGTTGTTTTGGTGTAAGGTATATTGAAGTTTGTTGAAGTCAGTGTTTGTAGCTAGCTAAGTTTAACGTTAAGACAGACTGAAGACAAGCCTTCCTGCCATCTTCCCATTTTGGCCATGTCCCACATTTTTGTATTATTACACAAAATAAATATTGCTTTCCTCTTTGGTATCTTGGCTTTACGAATTTAAGCGCTGTACTAGATTGGTGGTTCGGTCTCATCATTTCCCAATTGAAATTGCTAGATGTAATTTCTATGTAAGTTCTATGATAAGAATACCTTCTCTCGCACTTTATGGCTATATCACGTTGAAACACCGGTTTTTGTACGATCACCAAAGTTAAGCAACGTCGAGCGTGGTCAGTACCTAGATAGGTGACCGTTTGGGGATACCAGGTGCTGTAAGCTTGGATGTGCGGGTGGTGTAATAGGTTTACAGCCAAATCACGTTCAAACACTGGCTCCTGTACGATCACCGAGCCTAGTCAGTACCTAGATGGATGACCGTTTGGGGATACCAGATGCTGTAAGCTTGGATGTGTGGGTGGTGTAATGGGCTTATGGTAAATAACGTTCAAACACTGGTTCCTGTATGATCACTGAGGTTAAGCAACGTCGAGCCTGGTCAATACCCAGATGGGTGACCGTTTTGGAATACGAGGTGCTGTAAGTTTAGATGTGCGGGTGATGTAATGAGCTTACAGCCATATCCCTTTGAAACACCGTGTCTCCTTGGATCACCGAAATTAAGCAACATCGAGACTGGTCAGTACCTATATGGGTGACCACTTGGAAATACCAGGTGCTGTAAGCTTGGATGTGTGGGTGGTGTGATTGGTACTGACACGAAATTGGAATTTGGAGAACTGAGTTGTTGGGAGAAGAGATGGCTTCATTCCTTTTCCGAGACTGTTAGTGCTAAAATGTACAAAACAAAGAGGTAGAAATTTTAAATTGGCTTTCTGATTCCTCTTCCTCTGTCAATCATCCTTATGCTCCCCAAAAGACCCTAGGTGGTAATAACATTACGAAAAAAGCCCTTATTGTTCTAAGGTTGGGGTCTGCCATCGTTTTAGTCAGTGAAAGAATTAACGGGGAAAGGTTGACAGATTTTTCTCGACGACTAAGAACGAAGATGGAACTGTGAAATTTATTTGCAGCAAAGACCTGAAAATGCAGATTTTTGAAACATGACTGTGAAACTCATCTGTAATGATCTAAAATTAGATAGAAAATGGAGAGAGGATTCTGGGAGATATTTTGTATAAAGACATTGAAAATATACTGAAAATAAAAATAGAATTCTTGAATATATTTTCTAGAAGAATCTTAAAAATATACAGAAATTATAGAAGTCAAGAAAATATTTGCCACGAAGAATAGACAGAAAATGCAGCAAGAAGTTCTTTCCCAAAAAGAACTAAACATTCTGTGTACCTGTAAATAAAATTCCGGAATACATTTTTTACTAAGTCGTTAAAAATATACAGAAAAAGGTGATTAGTCAAAATGTGTTACAAATAGTCTCCATTTTCTGTATATTTTCAACGATTTATAATTTGGAATACATTTTGTTGAAGTCTTTGAATATATCCAGAAAATGGAGATGATATTCGGAACACATTTTGTCTGTCGTTGAAAATAAACAAAAATGGAGATAGAATTCTGAAGCCCATATGCCAGAAAGACCAAAAATAGAGAATTTTTCCACAAAGACGTTCAAAATATACAGAAATCTAGAACACGTTAACCACAAAGATATAACAAATATTCTGAAATTATGAGTACAATTCTGAAAATAGATTTTCTCCAAAGTCCGTAAAAATATGCTAAAAATTTCGAGATAGAATTCTGGCAAACAAATGCCACAAAATAAAAAAAAAAATATCAAGGAAATGGACAGGTAATTCTGGAAATCAATATTGACTGGATTCTTGAAATTCTGGAAATCAATATTTACGTTGAACAAATGAGAGAGCTGTCTGAAACGATGAGTGTACGGACGCCGAGAAAGACAACAAAGGCTAAAGTGCTTTACTGAATTAGCCGAAATAATAAAATTTAAAGTCAACACAATAAACACATCTGATTGACTAATTTGATAGGTTTTAACGATTGCAAGCAATTTGAACCAAAAGGAAAACTAGTTCTCCAAATGCAACTTGTTAGCTTTATATCCAGCAAGGTTACTCAACGATACTCTGGAATAATTACGATTTATTCATAAATATAATAAACGCATGTTTTGGTACAAAAAAAAAATGGATATTTAAGCATAACGCTTTAGTGATTTAATTTTCTCTGACGATAATCGTTCGGCTACCCAGATGTCTCTTGATGCTAGTAATATTAGAAAAAGTCCATTAGTGTTCTATGGTTGATAGCCATCCTTAGTTCATTCACCCATAGAAAGACATGCTGAGGTTGACAAGGGATAATCCTTATTGTAAATTGTCTAATTGCAGTAGAAGGTAGAAAATATCAATCTATGTCTTAATTCCATTGGTATCTCGACTTGACGAATTTGAGTGCTGTACTAGATTGGCAGTTAGGTCTTATAATTACACTATTGAAATTGTTAGATGCAACCGTAAGTTCTGTGCTAATAGTTTCTTTTACTGAACTTCAAGGGCTTACGGCCGTATCACTGAAAGACCGACTTTTGTACGATCACTGAGGTTTAAGCAATGTCGGGTCTAGTCAGTACCTTGATGTGTGACCGGTGGTACATACCATATGCGGGTGGTGTAACTGGTAATGGCTTGGAATTGTAAGTCGGAGAACCAAGTTCTTGGGGAAAAGAGATGGATTCCTTCCTTTCCCGATGGTATTAGTGCTAAAATGTACACAACCAATAGGGAGGAATTTGAAATTGGCTTTCAGAGATATCTAAAAATATACAGAAAATAGAATTCTGGAACGCGTTTTTTTTTTTTTTTTTTGCTACACATTGCTGGTCGCATGATTCTATGCTGTACTGTCCCCTACCTTGTTATAAAAGGCTATCAGAAAAGAAAAACAGGTCCTTTGATCACGCTAACCTTGACCCTCTTTGGTCATGCCATATTACTGAATCTATTATGCATCTGATCAGTTTGGTAGACTTGAACAATTGCAGGCAATTTAACCAGAAAGAAATCGTTTTCCAGTTTTTGCTTTCTTTTTTTATTCAGCATGGATAATCAATGATAGTCTGGGATAATTTCGGTTTATTTATAAATTTAATAGCCAAATAATGTTCTGACGCACAACAGGTACATTTAAACATAAAACCGTAAATATGATTGATGTATGATTCTTTGAGCTGTGAAGTAGATTGGGAAAGTCTTTTATATACCCTGCTTTAAGCTGATCACTTTCAAAATCCTCATATCTATCATTGTTCCATTTGCCGAGACAATGAATATTAAGTTGAAAGTGTTGACCATAATTTAATGAAATTTAATCTTCTATAGAATGTTTCATTGAAGACTTTTATTCGCTTTGAAATGAAAGAAAAGACAAACATTTTACATATATATAATGTTATACATATATATGATAATATACATATATATATTGTATAATGCTATACATATATATGATAATATACATATATATATTGTATAATGCTATACATATATATATATTATACATATATATATTGTATAATGTTATACATATATAATGCTATACATACATACATATATATATATATATTAAGTTATATATTGATATATATTGTTATATATTTGTATATATATGTTATTATATGTATGTTTTTATATATATATATATATTATATATTATTATATATATATATATATTATATTATACATTTATATATTATATATTATATATATATTTATATATATATATATATATATATATATATATATATATATATATATATACATATATATATATATATATATATATATGTTATATATATATATATATTTATATATATATATTTATATATATATATATACATATATATCTATATATGTTATATACATATATATATATATATATATATTTATATATATTATATATATATTAATATATATATATGATATATATTTTTATATATATTTTTTTTATATATTATATATATGTTTTATATATATATATTTTTTTATGTTATTTATATATATATGTTATATATATATATATATATATATATATTTACATTTATATATATATTATATGTATGTTTTTATATATATATATATATATATATATATGATATACATTTATATATTTATATATTATGTATGTTTTATATATATATATATATATATATATATACATTTATATGTTATATATTTATGTATATTTTTATATATATATATATATATATATATATATATATATATATATATATATATATATATATATATATATATATTATATATATATTATAAATATATATATTTATGTTAAATATATATACCATGTTTATATATACATATATATATATATATACATATTATATACATATATATATATACATACATTTTATTATATATATATATATATCCTATATTTTATATATATATATATATATATATATATATTCATATATATAATGTGTAGAACGTTCGCTTTCTGACCATGAGACCCGGGTTCAAATCTCACCATGGTATTCCTGGTGATATCGAATTGAAAAAGTGCCTGAAAACCAAAACACGGGTGAGGCACGGAATTCTTGGGGACCGTCAGTAGCTGTGCCAACACGAAGCCACAAGGCATCGTGGCCAAGGAGCGTGCTGGCCTTGTTCAAATTGTTGTTCACGCTAGATAACACGCTCTCTCTATGTTCTGCTCATCATAGATGCAGTATAAACCACAAAGCAAACACAATTGTGTCTGAGCGAACGTCTGCAATAGGGATTGGCTAGCCGCCGTAGTAGACGGGTAACCTCGAATACCAGTGGCCACCTATTATATTATAATGAAATGGATTAAGTTCGGTAATTATTTAATATATTTTATGTTTGTACATTATTTTAATAGATACAATTTATATAAGTAAATGCTCTGGTTTTTAAATAAAAAATATTAATTGCATTTACCAGCATGAATGTTCGTGAAATTTCGTTGGAAATATGTGCTTCTCCGACAGGAACTGAACTGAAACCCTTATGGGAACAATCATTTGGTCTGATATGCTGTTAACTATTCAACTACAAAGGAGCGTCTGGTTAGCAAAGTCCGAATTACTGTTTATAAACAACAAATCTTCGACAATCTTTCCCGAACAATCATATCTGCCCACGAAACGTACTTTAACGTGAACGTTGATAACATATTATGAAATGAATTAAGTCCGACAATTATTTAATATATTTTCTATTTATACTTTATTTTTATAGATAGAATTTCTTTAAATAAATGCTGTGTTTTTAATTAACAGTATTGATCGTGTAAGAGTTTTTGTTTATAAGCAGTAATTCAGTCCCTATTTACATTTACACTATCTATATGAATTACATACAAATGAAACTCAATTGTACCCCGTTTTATCAAACGTTTTAGTACTGACAAGCTCCAGGAAATCTCACTAAGAGCGAAATGGCCATATAAATGTAGTACAATTGAGTTTCATTTTTATGTAATTAATTTACATGTTCTATAATACATATATTGAGCTATCTTTTGTGGATCAGTTTGAATATTTTATATTATTAGGATTAACTTGGATTACTTAACCACGGATTTACATATATATATATATATATATATATATATATATATATATATATGTGTGTGTGTGTGTTTATATATGTGTGTGTGTTTATATATATATGTGTGTGTGTGTTTATATATA